ATATGAGAAGAACCATTTTATTCTGAATTACTTTTATTTGTCCATTTTACTTACATATATAAATGCAGATTTATCCAAATAAAATCAACATTCATAGTATGAGTGCATGAATCATCCTCTCCCCAGTCAGACTCCCCCTATAACTCTAGGGCTACGGCATTCTTTTTCAGGCTAGGGGGACTGGGGGATTGAACCCTGGAGTACTTAACTAATGAGCCACATCCCAAGGTCTTTTTCATTGTAGCAGTGAGGAGGGACAGCACCCCGAATGAATCCAATCATTAGCTTCTCCATTCCTGCTCTCAAAGAACTTGCTTTTAAGGGCCAGGGAATTTCCTTATTTGCCGACGTTGACCCTGCTCTCAGCTTGTGGTTGAGAAGCCTGAACTAGACTCTCAAGGCCCCGATCTTGGCTCCTCTTCAACCCTACCTGCCATCAGAGCAGCAGTTTCAAACCTTCTCACCTGTTCCCAGTGACCTTCCTACTAGATGCTCTAACCCAGGGGTTCTTGGACCAGAGGCATCAGCATCCCCTGGGAACTTGTTAGAAGCGCCAACTGGGGGTCCCCCCTCAAATCCAACCCTAGGCATGGGGCCAACAGCTGACGTTTCTGTAAGCTGCCAAATTCTTGAACCACCACTCCAACCTACAGAGCTGACTCCTCTAAGAATGTTTCTTCAGTCTTCCTCCTCTTCTCCCTGCTTCCTTAATTCTTGAGGCCCTGTCCTTGATCCTCTCCTCAGATAACCGGGTCAACTCCCATGGACTCCAGAACTCTTATTTTCAACAGCTGAGTCAACATCTCCACCTCCGGATACATCCAAAACTAATTATTCTTATCCCACTCCACCACCTCACGCCTACTATATCTTTTATTTGTTCTCTCCCAATTGATTTCAGGTAAGAGCATCACCTTCAGCTCCCAGCCTGGAAGTTTCCAAATCACCTGACCACAGAAATCTCTTAAATCCAGCTGCTCTTTTCCTCCTCCTTCTCTTTATCACTTCCTGTGATGGCTTTTGCCATCTATTCCTATCTGTTCCCCAGGCCTTCAGCATCCTATCTCAATGTCTTCTTGAAAAGAAAGAAAAAAGGTCTACTTAAAAACAGAAAGGCTGTTATCCTTAATATTTGAGTTGGCCATATTTACACAACAGGAAGAGTCTTTTCAAAAGGAGTGCCCACTGTACACTTAGGGGCTTTGAATGCATTACAGCCAGTCCCTCCAACAACCCTACTAGGAAGGCTTGACTTCTTTTCAAAGATCATAATCCCGAAGGTTCAGAGAAATGTGACTTGCCTAAGTCTCACAGTTAGTAAATAGAAAGATTGAGATTGGATCCCAAATCTCCCTCTTATCCCATCTTGCTGTCTCATTTTGTACAACTGCTGTCTTCAATTAATGATGTCTACTCTCAGAAAGGCAATTCAGCACCATTGTCAAGTCCATTTCCAAAGCACTGCCACTGTCACATAGACACTGTTACATAAACAAGTGCTGGCCCCTCCCCTGATCCAGGCAATGGCAAGGCCCTACTGAGGGGGATGGCGCAAGGCGTCCATCCTCTGGAGGAGCGCAGTAGGTTTCTGGGAATGGGCTGGTTTGGTTTTGTAATCCTTTAATAAGTATGATTTCAACTTCTCATATGACCATTAAGTATGAAGGAAAAAAATATGACTTTCCCAATTAATGCAACTACTTCTAAAGCATAGATCTGTTTGCTCTAAATGCAGTGATTCAGCTGTGGAACATAAATTGTTAACATTTAATGAAAAACCCCCTATAGGAAAAACAGTCAAGGAAGTTTTTGAGAAATTAAATTAAAATCTAGAGAAGAATAATTAATATTAAGAAGACAGATTAGTGCTTAGGACTGGGCAACTTGTTCCTATGCACAATGGTTTGGTGCTCTTACTCTTGTTTGACTAAATTAGTAGCCTCTCTTTTCAAGTTAACCACTTGCCACAACCGTGGCCCTGGTTCTGGTCAGTAATTCAAGAAAGAATAGTCAAGGTATAGGCCAATAGTCTGGGACATTTCTAACTCTTATTAAAAGGTAACTAAGCAGAAACAGCTCAAAGCAAAACATGAACTGAAAGTAAAAATGCTTGCTTATTCATAAGCCAAGATACATTCTTCTTATCTAATTGTATCTATGTAATATTTTGTTTCTTTGAATAATGATTCCTGTTTTGTAACCACAAAGTACTGTGAGCCTGCCAAAATGAAAAGTGTATATGATTAACTTCACAAGATTGGAATTCAGCATCTTCACTTTTGTGTCTGTGTTGTTTCTCTACCCCCTTTCATCAACTCCTCACCATCCATTCATCTCCTGAGACCCCCTGTCAGAGCTGGACTCTGACAAACAAGCACTCTTGCCTCTGAGCAAGACACTCTAACACTGATGAAACTCTTCAAAAACTTCCTAGCAAGCAAAATGTCAGGAAGTGACTAGCCCTGGACAAGAATATAATGTGCTTTGCCAGGGGATGGTGCAGGAAGAGATCTCTCCTGTAATGCCTGGGCTGGCTGTCAGCTACCTATCAATCACCATGGTCACTATACTAGGTAATTTCTTCATCTCCCCAAATTAGCATCAATTTGTAAGATGTAGGAGAGGGTAAACTGAGTTTGGATCGATAAAGAACTAGAGAATAAAAATAGTTCAATTACATAGCTATATTTTTTCCTGTTGCTCTGTATATTTGATTCTTATAGGCAAATTATTTTGTTCAGAAAATAAGAAAACAAAAGAGGTAGCAATCATATTGTCCAGTCTTACAATGGTACAAAAGATAACAGGAGTCAAGATAAAGAAAGCATCTTTTATAGATTTATTGGTCCATTACTTTAAGTTAATTGAGGTAAAGAAACTTTGTTTGAATTTACAAGCTAATAGTTTATCAAGCAATACAAATTCTTTATTTACCTCAAAATGTAAAATACTAATTCCATAGTAAACAACAACAAACAGATTTTTTAATACACAGATAACATGAAAAAAAGTGGGCAAAAAACTTCGTGCCAGCATCAAAAATTCAACAAAAACAACTCCCCTCCCCCATTCCA